GCCTCAGGTGCCCTTCCAGGATGTGAAGGCTGGTAAACTGCCGTGGAAGTCGAAGGAAGCACAGGCGGTTCAACCTGATGGGGATAGACGAATCCTTGAGTAGCAGGTTCGGCTCCTGGTGGTAGTCCCTGAGAAAGGTCTGGATGAGGCAAGGGGCCAACGAGAGAAGAGGAAGTAGATTCTCCCCCCGGACAGCTGGCAGGTGGTACGGGAGTGGGGGCCTTGCGTTGAGCCATTTGAAATTGACGCTCAAGAGCATCGTGGCGACGCTTAGCAGCCTTATCCTCAGCCGAGGATGATTTGTGGCCTTTTGAGGAAGCAGACTTAGATGGGCGTGATGACTTCTTTGAAGTCTTCTTTGAAGCCTTCCCCAACGAGCGGTCAGAGACCTTGGGACGAGGTGGAGATTGGTCTTGTTCCATGTCGGAAGAAAGGTCTGGATCCGCCATGGGAATTGAAATTTAGCCTCTCTTCTCTTTTTGGGGGGGGGGGGTTAGATGGAGCACACACACCCCAGCAGGGAAGAACTTTTAAGGGCAGAGAACCACCCGGGTGGGGCAGTAATGTTCCAAAGGTTCAGGAATGACCCTGAGGCCTGGCTCCGATGCTGTCAAAATGGCGGCAAACACAAAATGGCGGCTGCGCGGGAAATAGCGTCCTACAGGCGTCGCCTCCTGATTCGCAACAAGGAGGCCTCTCCGAAATGATGATGAAGGGCCGCCGGGCTGCTGAAGTGCCCCCGCAGTCGAAGGAGATGGCCGGCTGCGCGCAAGCGCTAAAGAGCGCTCCAAACGCCTCCAAATGGGCCTGCAAGGTGTTCGGGAGCAGGCAGAGCCGGAGCGCGATGGCGGCCAAAGGATCGGGCTGCGGGACAGTCTGCTGTGAGCCTGCGCTGACGAGCGCTCCCAACGGCTCTTTATGGTGGGCGTGCGATGGCGGCCGATGGATCAGGCCGCGAAAACCGACCCCAGCAGCGTGCGAGCGCTAACGAGCGCTCCCAACGCCTCTTTGTTGCCGTCCAAGCCGCTTGTAATTCGGCGAAGCTGGGGTGCGTGGGCGGCAGGAGAAAAGGGCCGTGGCAAAATAAAGAGGGCCTCCCGATCGCCCAGTGACTATAGCTCGCAAAGATGCCGTATGGAGGCAGAGCTCGGCGGCGAGGGCTGAATAAAGGGCACACAGTGGGCTCGCAGGGATGGCAAGGTGGGATGCAGAGCCCTGTGGCAGATATAGGCCCAGGAGGGGCGTCTGAAGGTCCGCGCCTTCAGAACGCCGTTGCCCTTCGATCTAGGAGGCTTGAGGCAATAATTCAAAAAACTCACAGTAATGAAGACAGGAAAAAACAAAAAATTAAAATAATAAAATATCCAGAAGAATTGCAATGAAGGGAGAGATGTCAAAAAGCACTGGTTCAGGCTGCACTGAGTGAAAGGAACTGAGCCTCAGCCAGTCCCTAGGGGAGGAGTCAACAGTTAATTTAAAGTGATATGCACTCAGTGTTTTCAGGCTACCTGAGGGATATTACCCACGCTCTTGGATTCTTCCAAGCAGCGCGCCAGAGAATTTAAAATTCTGAATAGGCTGTAACTTAAAAAAAACTCGGTTTCTTTTATATAGTTTGTAATACGTTTGAACTAGATCTATATCACTGCCCAGTGATTGACTTGTGTTTGGAGTCTGTCATTCACGTCTCAGTAGTCTTAATTTCTTCAAATCATCATCTATTGTATTTTGTAATCCATGGAATTAACAGTCATCAATTGAATGGGATTGTCTGACACTATTTACCCAAAATTAGTTTTCAATTTTATTTGATGTGCATTTTGCCATTAAAATGCCTCAGTATAGTTAAAAGAAAAGTGTACATCTGACAGTTACCATTATCTCAACTTTCCTTGTTACATTAATGATAGTTATTTAAAATCATTGGTTGTGTCAAGATTATCTGAAGCACTCTAGTAAATATATTGTGCCTTTGATGGCCTCTAATGAAGTTGTTCTAATCTGAAATGACTTCTGTAAGATTAAAAAGCTATAGTCACACATGTTACACCAAGATGTGATCTGCCTAGTTCTGGTCTGGAAACTATAGTTTACTATTATCATGTCATCTGAATCCAATCAACTGTGATTTATTGTAATGGTTAACTATGTATCGGAGGTGGGTTTCAGCAGGTTCTGACCAGTTCTTGAGAACTGGTAGCGGAAATTTTGGAGACCCAGTAGTAAAAATTCTGGCTGGCCCCGCCCCCATCTATTCTCTACTTCCCAAGTCCCAGTTGATCGGGAGGAAATGGGGATTTTACAGTATCCTTCCCCTGCCATGCCCACCAAGCCACGTCCACCAAGCCACACCCATAGAACCAGTAGTAAAAATTTTTGAAACCCACCACTGCTATGTATGGCGTGTAAGCCATTCATTATGTCATGCAAATTGTTTTGCTATGTAAAATTATTTAATTTAGGGGCTTTATCTGAGAGCCCACACTTTCTGAATTATGCTACCTTATTTTTTACCTTCGATTCAGTAATTTATAAAGCATTTAGTTCTTGAATTATAGGTGACCCAGTTTCTTTTGTCAGTAATGTTTTGTCAGCATCAGTTCAAACAAATGCATTTGAAGAAATATTAGACCAAAATTGATTTTTAATGAAATTGCAAATATTAAACAGAAATAAATATAGAAATATAGAAATAGAAATAAATAGAGTAGAAAATTAAAATTCTAGACTGAACCTCACCAAAAATGTCAGAATATTCATGATTGGGAAGACATGGTAACAAGGTCAGCGAATGAATAGGCATAGCAACTAAATCAGCCAATTGGGAGCTGAGACAGACTGGAGATAGGGTGTGTCTTAGTCTACAGCTTCTGAGTCTGTGCGGAGAAAGAGAAACAGAAACTAGTGTGTGAACTTGTCTGCTGATCTGAGCTGAAATGAAACTGTGAATCTGTTGTTGGTATTGTAAACTTACTTCATGTATTATTGTGAATATAAAGAAGTTAATGAATCCTGCTGCATCAGTTCATCTGTGTATGCTTCTGGATTTGAATTTTGCAAGAAACTCTGACAAAAAATATCACTTGAAGCCAAGATTGCCAAACAAAAGCTATCATACTTGGGCCATGTCATGCGAGTTGACTCACTCAAAAAGTCAATCATACTGGGAATGATCAACAGAAAAAGGAGAAGGGGGCCACTCTAGTATCTGCTGGCTGGATGCTATAAAAGATGACACCGGGAGGACTATGGCAGATTTGAAGGAGGTGGTGCTTGACAGTGGGGCATGAAGAGTGCTGATTCATAGAGTGGCCGAGGGTTGGAGCCTGGTGGCTCAGCAGACTGATAGCATTGTGATTAAAACCAGCTGTCTGCAATTACGGTAAGTTCGAATCTCACCAGGCTCAAGGTTGACTCAGCCTTCCATCCTTTCTAAGGTAGGTAAATTGAGAACCCAGTTTGTAGGGGCAATAAGCTGACTTTGTATAAATATACAAAAGTATGAAGGCTATTGCTTAACGCATTGTAAGCCGCCCTGAGTCTCTGGAGAAGGGCGGCATATAAATCAATTTTTTTTAAAAAAAACTGAATGGCTGATGACAATGATGATGATGTTAATATCTGCTTGTAATAAATAATAAATAAAAAATGTACTAAAATGTTGGAATTCAGTTTGTTCTTTACAAACACTGATCTGGTATGCAGTTAAAAATGATCCTTTATGTCTATTTTTTTTTAGTTGTGTACCATTAAGATGAAAAGGAACTGTATTCATTCAGGAATTGCAGATTTCTTCCACTTGCGTATAAATATTCAAACCTTAAGTGCATATATAATCTATTTTATATTTTGCATATTCTATTTATATCCAAACTCTTAGCCTCATAAAGTTACTTTTCTGCAGTTTTCTAGCCAAGTATGCGCCATCTCCTCTACTACTAAAAACACATCTGGATTCTGGGCTTGTTTAATTAAAAAAATAATGCCAAATGGGAATGAAGTTTTTTTCTCCCCTTCTCTTTCATAGGTGGTATCATGAAAGTAAAGTGAGCTGATGGAGAAAGGATGGAAAGTTCTGTTCTTACCAAGTTATTCACTTCCCTGAATGAATTCTTTGGCATCCTTAGCCCTCTTTTTAGAACATTTCACATGATTTGCATGTTCTTATTATAGCCATGTACTTAACGTAGTATAATTTTCTTTATATTTCAGGTAGCCTAGGAACAATCTGAAGTTAAGGCAAACTAATTTGTCACAAAACACTTAATGAGCTGAGCCGAACTGAAGATTGCTAAACTATGTGGAACAATGCCATCTTGACACTATCCTGGTGATTAACAACATTTTAGTTATTTGAGGCAAAACTGATCATTGCTTTAGGACTTCTATTAAAAAAAGATGAACTTTTTTAAAAAAATTATAAGTATGCCCAAGTTTGTACAGCTACAATTATTTTTTTCTCCTTGCATTATTATCAGAAAAAAAACCCATTTGTATTCTTTTTTTGATGTTAGAATTTTTGACATTGATTCTTGTAAACAATTTTGAAATAGCGGACTAAAGTATTGATTGGATCAGCTTTCCCCAATGTTGATGCCTTCCAGATGTGTAAGCTTTAATTCCCAGTATTCTCATCATTACCCAGGATGATTTGGCTGATGTTGGGAACATCTGTAGGGTGTTGAATCTGGGGAAAGCTAAGAAATATATTACGGTATTATGTTTTTGCCATTTATAAGTTTAAAAAACAGAATAGGCACTGAGTCAGTAAGCAGAAGCTCACATAATTCACACGATACAAAAAGATGATAAAAGAAACAACTTATGTTTTCAAAGTTGAGGGAAATACAAAGAAAGATGACAGGTGGACGGGATCAAACAGGTCATTGTGATGTCCTTTGAAGAGGTATAGATTATTGTCAGGTACAATGCATAATAATAGGTGCTTATACATACAGTTGCTATGGATCAGACGTCATGACAAGCAATTAATAAGGAATAGTACAATTCATATTTCATGATTGATGGGCATCTCAGTGAAGAAAGATAGCACCCAGCCCTCTTCGAAGAATGTTCAAGGAAATATTAAAAAGGCGGAATATTATATTTCCCTGGATGAGAAAAGGAGAAACAGGTTTTTAAAGACAAAGAGTAGCTCCCTGCAGCTCCCTGCCCCCAGCAGATATTTTGATGCCAGCGTATCTATAAAACAAAAGACCTCAGCTCCAGGGTGATGGGATTAAAACATGACCTTCCAGGACACAATAGCATTATCTAGCTCACCACAGGGCACAACCAAGCCCCTACATTACATCACCTAGCACAGTTCAACCAAGCTTATTTCAGACAAACTCCTAGGATTTGCACATGAGATACATTTCTTACACAGGAACAGGAAGTTCTAGGGCAAGGCCCAAGAGAGGGTATAAATATCTCTCCACTCCATGTGTTCAGCTGCCCAGAATCACACATGCTTGGTGGTCCTGTTTCACCATTTAACCATCCTTCCAAGCAGCCTCCATGTTTCCAGTGTCTTTCTCCCCACTTGAAAATGAACCCAGATGAACATTTCTTCCAACATCAGTTACAAAAATGAAGTTAAAGGAATGAAAGAGAGACCATCAAGCAGAACTCAAATTGGTTAATGGTGTGGACAGTTTGGGGTTTCAGGGTTAATGCCTTGACTAGTCTAGGGAACAGATTTCATTGTGTTTCACCAGCAACAGTAGATGGCACCTTCAGAGGCCAAGTTATCTGCTATGCAAATCATAGTCAAACTAAGTGAGGATTGACTGGGCTTCTGTCTTTATAGCCAGGTGTCTAGACTTTTGTTTAGTCTTTGACTGAGCTGGTTTCTGATTGCTGAGGGTTGATCAGAGGTCATGGTCACTAAATCCTGAACCCATGCGTGTTGTATATTGTTTTACTGATGCTTATATTGTTTTACTTGTATTTATAAATGTATTTTGTGGTTTCTTAAATTAATAAAAGTTTACAAATTTTTTTAAAAAAAATCCTGAACCCAACTTTGCAGCTATGAAAGCCAATTTGGTGCAGTGGTTAAGTTGCTGGCCTAGAACAGGAGTTTTAGTCCCACTTTAAGCATGAAAACAGCTGACATTGGGCCAATCAGCAGGGAAAAGAGGACGAAGAAGGAATATTGTTATGTATGCCTTGAACTGCATATGAAAAAAGGCAGGGTAAAAATCTTTTAAAAGGCTATGCTGTTGTTAATGGTTATCTCAATACTAACATTTTTATTTTATTTTCAGGATTCATTGTTTAAGATGCTGCCCTTAACAGATGCATTGTATTTGACAGCTTTCCCAATCTTTCAAATATTTGGCAGATAATTAAAACAATTAGCAAAGGAACATATAGCAAATTTTCAAGGAGTGCAACAAGAAAAAACAAGGCAGCACTCAAGATCTTGGATCCTGTTCAGGTAAGTTTCTTTGAAATGAATAACTAATTTAAACTTGCTAACAATCCCTGACCGAGCACCTTATGAATTAGCACTATGATATATGAATCCATTAATGGAATTTCACTCATTTGGAAGGCTCTGGTTCTTGTTTCGTCTGATAGAAGAATGCTTGGTACATAGACCTGAGAATATGTTTTCACACAAAATAATGAAATAATTACAAAAAGAAATACCGTATTTTTTGGAGCATAAGACTACCTTTTTCCACCCTAAAATGGGGTGAAAATTTAGGTGCGTCTTATACACCGAATGTAGTCCCACCCACCCACTCGCCCCCACTCTTTGGCCTCTGCCTCCCAGCAGTTACCTCCTTGCAGCAAACAGCAAGAAAAAACAGCTCCTTTCAGCTTTAGCACAGTCTGATTAGCACAAGTTGATTGGATCGGCCTTAGGACTCTCAGCTATTTTGCTCTCAGCTGTTTTGCCAGGGCTCTGCTACTTGCTGCAAGGAGGTAAATTGCTGGAGCAGATTTTTTTCCCCCTTGTACTAATCAAGCTATGCTGAAAATGAAAATGAAAGTAAAGCAGACTGTTTGCTGTTTGCTGCAATGAGGCAAAATTGTTCAGAGGCAGAGGCAGATTTCTTTTTCTTCTTTTTGTCACCAAAGAAGGTAGGTGCATCTTATAGTCCGGTGTGTCTTATACTCTGAAAAATACAGTAATAACAAAAGAGAAGTTATTTGTAGCAAAGTGGGAAAGGTTTTCAGCACCAAGCTGCAACTGAATTATGCTATGAAGTAGTAGAGAAGCATGGGTGTACATAACCTGGTCATAATAAATAATGGTATTCACAAGGGAGAGTAGTTTGTATCCCATAGCATCTATACCTGGATATTTCATGTGGGTTCTAAAATGGGGAGATGCAGCCCACATCTGTTAAACAGGTATATACTTGGTTTTGGGGGATTAAGACTGCAATGATCTTTGAATAACATGCTGAGGAATTCACTTCCCAAAATAGGTGGGTCCAGCACAAAGAAATGGGCAAGAACAAGATGAAAGCTAAATAATTGAAGGTATAATTAATAGGATTACTCTGCTATCTATTTAATTAGATCCTAGTTAAAAATTATAGACCGTAAATTTAGAAGAGGTGTGGCCAAACTTTGCAGGTCGGTATATGGCCATAGGAACATAGACTACGAACATGGAGCTAATAGTGTTAATGGTAGATTAAATGGATTAGAAAAATATCCTTATTTTCTTATTTTATTGCCTAGATGCTTCATGTATATGGCACAATCATACAGGTATATAATCCCATAAATCAAAATTTAGCACCCAAGGCTTAGCTTTCTGTGAAACCTAAAGTTTTATAAACATCCTCCTTTATTTTATGTAACTATCTTTATTGCTTCTTCTAATTTTGTTGTGTCATCTGTAAATTTCCTATAGTAATTTGATCACTAGGAATGCTGTTCCTTTGTTTTGTTTAAATTCATCTGTTTGCAGAAATTACTTGCTTCCTTTTATTTAAACTGAAGGGACTGCGAGTAGCTGCAGAGGGAGCCATTGCAATAAGCAAACAAACAAACAAAAAAGGCTTTAAACAATTCTATGATTCTTTGGAAATCCAAGGCTGGGAAGACTTGATAGGTGAAGAGGCTATCCAAGGTCATTCATTCCAAAATCCATATTAAGGCAATATCTTTACTATTTCAGGATCCCAAATAGTGTGCAGGAATTCTTCGTTGGTCAAAAGAAAGGAAGGAAGAGGAGAGGGGGGAGAATATAGTTTGATGCACTCTACATTTATTTACAGTTTTAAGATGGAATTATGAATAAGGCATCAATCTAAGGTCCCTCAGATGATTAAAAATTTAAGCCTCACCAAAGATTCTCCCAGTGCCTTCTGTAATAAATAATTAATTCTTTGGTTGTAAAAGCATAACTTCTGGTTGCTATATTAAATACTTATTGTTTTCATAGTATTGAATCCTGAAGTTGCATTCTTGGCAAACATTCTTGGCAAACAATCCTGGTGGCAGGATTGGGAAAATAACTTGTTCTTGCTCTTTTTCAGATTATGAACATAACTTTGTTGTTATTTTCTGTCCAGCATAAATTGATTGGTAGCTTTCATCTCCATGAAGTTGCCTGTCTCTTATACAAAGAACAGAAAAATTTGTCTACATCACCCCTTACCTTTCACATATATCCCTGTGTTTCTTCTCTTGTTCTGTGGGTCTGCATTTTTTGTGCAGTGACAGTGACAATTTTGGATTATAGAGCCCTTTCCACCTACAAGCCTTTTGTAAATATGGGATTGGCACACTGTTGGAACAAAATAAAAAGGGAAATGAATGACTTTGCCATAGGTGTCCAGGCCACACAACCAAGCAAATGAAATAGATGAACTTTTTGCTAACCAGTTAATTAATGTATGTAGAAACACACCACAATAGTAATGGGAAACTTTAACTGCCTGACATCAATTGGGAGATCAAACAGGTTTCTTAAGAGTCTAGATGACAATCATCTAAAAGGTAGAGGAGGAAACTAGAAGGTTAACTAAACTGGACTTAATTCTTACTAACAGAGATGAAACGATAGAAGGGTTTGAAGTTGCAGAAATTTGGGGGGAAAGCAACCATGTTATACTGGAATTCAATAAAATGCAGACATAAGCAAGACACATCATCTCCTCTAAATCCAAGACTTAACAGGGCTTTATCCCCACCACCCGCCTTTTGGAGAAGTCAAAGGAATGGCTTTACTCCTCTCTCTTCAAAACCACTAAGGTTATTTTTTTCTTCACAATGGAAGTAAATGTAACAGGAAAATAATGAAAAGGCGTAGGAGGGAGATGGAAAGACCAGATTTTGCATTCCATCTTCAGCTACTTGGATACCCTTTCTGTCCTTCTTCCACATCCTCAATCAGATCGAAGGAGTAACCATAAGCCTCTTTATGAAGCATCACAAGTGTGTTTAAGGAGAATGGTTAGCCAAACTTATGGCTGTGCAGAAGTGCCGTAAATCAGGAGTCCCCAACCCTGGGCCACTACCGTTGAGCTGTTTGGAACCAGGCCGCTGAAATGGTGAGTGAGCATACATGCATGCCCGTTTGTGCAAGCAGCGAGTGAGCGCATGTATACGCATTCCATTTGCGTGCGCCACTGCTCATGCAAACGGAACTGCATGGGCACGCCTGCTTGCCCGCTGCTCATGCAGAACCATCCACACTCTCACCCCCCCCCGCACTGGTCTGCAAAGCCAAAAAGGTTGGGGAACTGTCCTAAATGATATTGAACCACAGGTTTTGATCTCTATATCCTCTTTTGTGTAGGGGATGCCATTTTAGATAAAATGACACGCTTCTGATGAATGATCTATATACTGGAATGATATATATACTGATTTGTTGTTTGTATTCAGTAGTTGAAAGGCTAGTTTCTAAATTCTTTCTTGCAAAAGCATTAGAAATTAATTAATAATGCTAACCACATAGTGCTAATCCAAAAGAATAATAATCCCAGAGGTTTATTGTGATCCAGTAGACAGAGTGTTTGTTCATTTAAACCTTTGAAATGTTACTAAATTATATTATTTGACTTTGATCTTTACAAAGTTAACATCATACATTTGCTTTTCATTTACATTTCATTCCTCAGGAGAAATGTGTAAATATTTACATTTAACTGCGGTTTTCTCACTAGGTTTGCCCTTTATCAGTTCTGAGCTTTGTTTTATTGAAATAAGCAAAACAACTCTTCCATGAAGAATTAACAGCAGACTACTTTCGAATAGTCTTTTGGTGTGAGAATATCAATATTAGTCTGGATGAAATTTCTCTTCAGGTCTCACAAAGCAATTCAAAGCAATTCAACTATTGTAGATTTCTAGAACTCATGGTTGTAGAATAAAAATGGTTGTAGAGTAAAAAATAAAATTTATATTATTTAAATATTAATATGAAATGGTTAATGGCTATATTTTATTTGTAGAATTTTCTATATGTAAGAATGTATTGGTTTCAGTTGGGGTTTTTATTTTTAATCTCTTCCCCAGTATTGTATAATACTTTATATTCTAAAGATAGCTCATCTTTCTTTCCCCTACCTATAGGTGATGGGCAGGGGTGGTTTCTACTTACCCTTTCTACTGGTTTGCAATGTGGCTGCAGACACATGCTCCCTTCGCGCTCTCTCTCTCTCTCTCTCTCTCTCTCTCTCTCTCTCTCTTCTGCGCATACACAGAAGCATTCTGATGACATCGGGGTCAGTGGGCGGAGCCTCCTGCCAGTTTTACTACCGGCTCCATAGAACCGGTGCGAACCGGGACAACCCACCACTGGTGATGGGGTATGTTAAGCATTCCCTTGTGGCTCTATATCATGCATTTGTTACACATTACCTTAAAGATATTTAGCTTGTTAATAATCTTAAAGAATTCTTCAGAGATGATAATAATCCTAGTATACCTTACTCTTTAACTTTTGCAAAATCTTGAGTGCCTTAGAAATTCTGAATTCTGCTTCTCAAAATCACTTCTTATCTTTGGTAGTTTGGCAGATAGAATTCCACTCAGATTGAGCAGGTTTTTGAAAGGAAATATCTATAGAACCTTTGCTTCCCAAGGTTTTATTGTCAAAAAATCATTAGAAAAAAGTTGTGCTGCAAATTGCATGAAAATTAGTCTAGGACATGGACAGATGAGAAATTGTTCATATGATAGCTTCAGTTAACTTGGAACTGAAAACTATTCACATGGTTGTATGAAGAAATAAAAGCTAAAATGTTTTATTTGAGAGAGAAATGCTTAATTTATATGCTTTCCATGTTGCATGCTGAGTATATGATGATGATCCTTATATTGGATAAGTAAAATCAAGTAGTAACACAATAAAGTATATATTTTCAGGTTTTTTTTTAAATTGATGTGTTACTTGGTACATCTGAGTACCAAATAACAGTAACCAAGCTAATTATCTATTCTGCTCCAAATTGTTCTAAAACTGTCTTTGCAGTTATCAGGCTAAAGTGAAATTTAATGGAGAAAATAATTAAAAAACAAAATGGAGATTGGCCAGCAAATCAGATTCCGTAGAATTCCCAGATTCCCTAGAATTCATTGTTCAGATTCCTCTTTCTTGGTTTCAATAAAACTTAGTTCTTGCTCTTTCTTCAGACTAAACGCACAATAGACATTTATTTTAGAATACTTTTATTTAAAATAAAGGGATACACTTTTTCTCTAAAAGCTTGCCAGCATTTTCATTTCATTTTTGCCTAAATACATTTGGTTTTCTTCCAGATGTCCTGCCTTGCACGAATCTGTAATACTCTCACCAGTGTGAAAAACAAGTAAATGACAATGTAGACAAAAGCAGGTTATTTGAAACCATTTCACTGTGGTGGCATAATGGTTCACTGTGGAACTATTATTGTCCAGATTTCAGTAGGAGTAAAAATGGAGCAGCTTTATTTTGACTATGAGTTCTAATTATCCTTCAAAATATATTGTCTTTGAAAAGAAACTCTGTATTAGAAATAAATGTTGAAATCAATTATATGTTTTTCCTATATTTTGAGAGCACTTTCCATGCAGCCCTTAATAATTGCTCCTTTTAATCCAATTCTACTTACCTTAACCCATTACAGCTCTAAATCAGTCTTTTAAATTAGCCATTTCTAATAATTGGAAAAGTAATATATTTTCTTTACCTTCCAATTAAAGTAATCCTGCTCTTTAGAATAGAGCCCTTTTGCCCTCTGCAAAATCAAAGATTTTGTGATGTCAGTAGGCTTTAGAAAGCCAAGTACTGGTAAAAGGTGATTTTCTATGGGAAATTATATATTCAAGTACCTTGCTTGAGCAGACTGAGGGCATAAATTATTGTCTATGGTAGAGTACAGAACAAAGGATAATTTCCTTCCATCATTATGTAGGAAAGAAAAGCCAGATGGAACATTAAGTATGGGTTCTCCATAACAACCTATACTACTCTCAGACGTGATTGCAGTGGCTCTTAATATATTGTCATTTGGTAATGTGCTGAATGTTCCAGGTATGGATTAATAGGTATATTACTGTGAGTATTTTTTTTCCTGAATAGGAACAAGCACATCAATTAAGTATGATTTTGCCCACTTTCTCAATTTTCCAACTTTGCATTCCTTCTGCCTGATTTCTGCATGAGTTTATGAATTTTTATTGAAGTGTGAAAGCAAGTTCTCCCACAAATGTATATTTTCTTGGACATTTCTCTAAATGATAGATTTAATTATACTTTTTTTGTAATAGTTGCATTTTAATGTCTTACTTACCAAATGATATGTGAGTAGTGGTCATTATAGTTTGATTTGCACACTTGATGTGTAAAATTGCTCTGTCAATGCATTCTGGTTTGCAATTTAATCAGGATACTTTTTTTCATTTCAAAAATAACATATCTGGATCTTGCTTTACTTTGGCAGGTTATAGCTGGAGTTAGAATATCCATTCAGCTGTACTTAAGTGTTTCTATCATATTCAGCTTCACAGCTATTCTTTCTCGTTCCACATCTCATCAGAAAGAAGGCTTGGTTAGAAACATGAGATAGAAGTTGGAATGCGAAAGAATCAAGTTAGGTGGACATAGAAAGAGATACTATGTTGATATTAGAATGTAGGTATTAGAATGATAGAAAGCTGGGCATTCTAGAATATAATGGTCAGAAATAACTGTACAACACTAGCAATGTTTAAAATAGTATATCATCTTGTTTTTTACCTTTGTTTCATGGCAACTGGAACGCCAGGACAACTACACTGTATTCAATATTTTTATATGTAAACAATAAAAATATATTTTAAAAAAAAGAAAGAAAGAAGGCTTCCCAGGACTGGGAAAAAGGTTCTTAGCTTTTAGCAGCTGTTCCAAGATAAGTGCCTTGGCCCATAGGAAATATGTTTAATACTTAATCTGAATAGTGATGTCATCTTCAAAAAGAGTTCAAACCAGGGGTGAAATCCAGCAGGTTCTGACAGGTTCTGGAAAACCGGTAGTGGAAATTTTGAGCAGTTCGGAGAACTGGCAAATACCACCTCTGGCTGGCCCCATGGGGAAGTGGGAGTGGGGAAGGAATGGAGTTTTGCAATATCCTTCCCCCAGGAGTGGGGAGGCCCCAGGAGTGGGGAAGGAATGGAGAGTACTTCCCCTGCCATGCCCACCAAGCCACACCACATCCACCAAGCCACGCCCACAGAACCGGTAGTTAAAAAATTTGGATTTCACCACTGGTTCAAACCCCCTATCAAAATCTTCTGATACTGTTCCAGCCATTCTGAAATTTTCCATAGTTTGTAAGATTTCTAGGAACAGAACCCAAAATACATCTGGAATACAGGTAGTCCTCGCACAAACAATGGAAAAAGAGGATCCAACATCCTGATAATACAGAGATGGGAAAAGAGAAACAGGTCTTTAAAGCTGACAATTGAATGTCATTTATTGAATGTAACATTTCAAATTAAGGTTATGTGAAATTGGTTGGGAAAATATTTCTGAACTTGGTTTATATGGTAGGTGGCCTGGATTTTTTTCAAGCCTACCTAAACACCAAACTCTGCAAGCCTCCAGTTTCTTCAATTTTCAGAAGGATAGCCAGTTTAATTTTTGCAGAAAACTTGAAGAATCTAGTGGCATTTTAAGAGTTAAGGCACAATCTTTCTTGTATGATTTAATCTTGCATCTGATCAGGAAGAAATATGTGAGGCAGAAGAGAAAGAAGGCTATTGGAGAATAATGAAAGGAGAGATGATTGCCAATAGTAACCACAAACAAAGCAATAGTTAGATGTCACACAAGCACTCTTCCGTGTGAATAGAAGTAAGACACTCTAGGTTCTGCTTAATCTATGGAAAATGAGATTAAATCTGATGAATTCTGACTCAACAGTTTCTCAGTGAAATCAAGTTTTTGGAAGAGGATGTAAACTTTTTGTATAACTACTGAGTTCTAAGTTTTGACATTGTGTGTTTTGGCTATGAGATAGGTCTGTTGGTAAATTTGAAATTTTGAGAACATACTGTGATACAGATAGTTCTTGTGTTGTGACTGCCTCATTTAGCAATAGTAGGCAAGTACAATGGCAATGAAAAAATTGCATTGCAACCAGTCATTTAATTTAAGATCTTCACAGGTCTGTAAAACAAAGGAAAGCTAGAGTTAAACCATAAAAACATTTGCAGTTTTACTTAGCAATAGCTTTGCTTAATGAACAAGTTGTTGGATCAAATTGTGCTATTTCACAAAATGGCGCCTGAAGTTTCTTTGATCTCAAATGGGTTCCCATGGTGGATGGAACCAATGGAAAACATTTGTTTATCCAGAGGCAAACTCCTGCCACCTCTTTCTAGAGTGGATACTGTCTCTAAGTCACTGCCACTTCCCCCACCCCAGACATTTTTTGCTCATGTCAAAAAAAAAAAAAAACAACCCCTAAATCTTGCCTAAGGCCCTATCTATAGTCATGGACATTTTTGCAAATAAAAATGATGCTAACGAAATTTAATATTAGCCTTCAGTAGGTACTGTGAAAAGAAATTTTACTTCAGCTTTTTGCCTTATTAAAAAGACACACTTCAAGCACTGGTGGGATTTTTTAATGTCCCAGTTTAAAGTACTGCCTTCGTGTCCATTGAAAATATTCCCTATAGCCAAACAATTTGCCTTGTGATTACAGGTAGTCTTTGTTTAATGACTGGTCACTTAACTACTATTCAAAGTTATAACAGAAGAGAAAAAATGTACGTATCACCTGTCCTTGAAGTTATGACAACAGGGCTCTCCTCCTCTGTCACATTTACAGTTGGGTTCAGCACATCTTTTCATCATTGACTTCAATTTGTGCTGTTTTTTGCTAGTTTTCACTATTTGAATACCTGTTTGGGGGAATGGCTTCACTTAACAACCAATATGATTCACTTAAACTGTGATGACTTGCTTTAATTTAATTTATTTTAGTTATCTTAACTTTTATATTGTATGTATTTTAATTTCAGCTGTTCACCACCCTGAGTCCCTAGGGGGAGAAGGGCGGTATACAAATTCAATAAATAAATAAATAAATAAATAAATAAATAAATAAATAAATAAATAAATATAGCCATTATAAAAACAATTATAAAATCAAGTTAAGACACATGCATGTGACTTACCATGAAAATTCTGAGTTCAGTTATGATAACTAGGATAGGTTGATTCAACCTACCATCCTTCTGAGATTGGTAAAATGAGAACCCAGATTGTTGGGGGCAATATGCTGACTCTGTAAACAGAGAGGGTATAAAAGCACTATGAAGCAGTATATAATCCTATTGCTTTTGCTATAGGATGGGATGGGATAGATAGGGTAGAGTAGGATAAGGCGATAAGATAAGAAGATAAGATAAAATAAGATAAGATTAAGATAAGATAAGATAACCTTTAATGTCACTTTTTTCTATGAGCATACTGACACACATTAAAATGAAATTCTGATGCCCGCTCTCAAAAGAAAATAATATTCATATACATGTGCGCGCACACACACATATTGTGTGTGTATATATATATATATGTATCAGTGGTGGAATTCAATTTTTTTTACTACCGGTTCTGTGGCCGTGGTTTAGTGGGCATGGCATGGATTGGTGGGCGTGGCTTGGTGGACGTGGCAAAATCTCCATTCCCTCCCCTCTCCAGGGGAAGATTCCTGCAAAATCTCCATTCCCGCCCAATCAGCTGGGACTCGGGAGGCAGAGAATAGATGGGGGTGGGGCCAGTCAGAGGTGGTATTTACCAGTTCTCCGAACTACTCAAAATTTCCACTACCGGTTCTCCAGAACTGGTCAGAATCTGCTGAATACCACCTCTGATATGTATATACAAACACACACATACATATATTATATGTTTGTGTGTATGTTTATGTGTATATACATGTATATATGTATTTATTTATTAGTCCAATTTATATGCCGCCCTTCTCCGTAGACTCAGGGCGGCTTACAATGCATTGTAGCAATAGCCTGTATATTTTGTATATACCTGCTTATTAGGGCTTTCGCCCCCCCCCCCAAGCGGTGTTGTTCTATACAAAGTTGGATTATTGCCCCCACAATCCGGGTCCTCATTTTACCTACCTCGAAAGGATGGAAGGCTGAGTCAACCTTGAGCCTGGTGAGATTCGAACTTGCACTAATTGCAGGCAGCTGGCAGCTAAGTGCTAGCACCTAACAGCACTTTAGTCCGCTGCACCACCGAGGCAGTATGTATGTATGTATGTATGTATATAAACACACACACACACACACACACATACACACAGCCTCCTCCCAGAAGGTAGTAAAACCAGTCATGGAGAAGATGTGTAGCATCTCTTACAGTACTGCAGACAGTGGTCAAGTAGTGTTTATATGCCATGTCCTGAGTAGAAGGAAGTGACATCCAATAATCTGTTCTGCCATTCTCTGCACTCTGCACAACCTTCCTGTCTATGAGGACTAAACTTAAGTCTGGGATTATCTTCTAATGCCTTTTTATAGGGACTCTTAATGCTCCAGTTATAATAACTCTATGATAGGGACATCCCAGTAGACAAATTGAATCTTTTATTAACAATACATTCAGGTTCTGGTCTGTCCATTGAACTAAACATTGTGTCCTCCTTAAGAGGGCTGGGTAATTTTAAGTGGCTTTTCAGCTGTCTTGTTAATGTAAACACTTGTTGAATATTTATTCTTGCTACATAGTGATGAGTCTAATCAGTTCTGCTGAACAACTGAGAATACTTGAGGGATTTAGAAATGTTTTCCCCTATTCTTTTTTACTATAGTTAAACAGGGGAGGATCTGGGACTGACTTTTTGAAGGCAGTTTTAGAGGAAAATGAATGAATACAGCCTTATTTATTTTATGCATAAAGCTCTAATGGCAAGTAGAAAAACTTGTTCAAATGGTGCATATGCCGGCATGCATTCATTTAACATGATTGAAGTTTCTTAAACTAGGTATTAAATTGTAAGTGTTGTTTACTTTTTCCTCTTAATGTAATTGCTGCGAATAATATGTGAATCAGGGTGGATTTGATTTAAATCGAGTTGATTTAAATCACAATTTAAATCATGATTTAAATCACTAGTAAAAAGGCTTGATTTAAATCAACTCGATTTAAATCATAATTTTTAAAGAGCAACTGTCATCTCTGCTACTCCTTTGACCCACTGTTGACTCACCGATAGTCCCAGTGTTGCAGAATATACAGCCTCATGCTACATAACTAAGCTCCATTTCATGCTGAATAAACTAAATTATTTATGTATCTTAAATAGAAAACTATCTTACGATATATTTTTACCCCAAAAGTTTTTTATTAAAATAAATTCAATAAAAATAAAAAAAATCCGATTTAAATCAAAAAAATCTGATTTTTTTAAAAAAAATCATTGATTTTTATCCACCCTGATGTGAATGGATGGGCTGGAAATATCATATAAGATGTTTCCAGCCTGTTTCCAGAGAGCTGTATATTGCCCTGGCTATGTAGTAGAAAAACAAGCAGGTGAGTTAATTTCTCC